AAAAAAAAAAAAAAATCCAGTGTCTAACAACCATATGAAATATGCCTAATTTTACCTAAAGATTTATAGACAGGTAATATCTAGTATTATCAACAGAATGGGAAATAGGCATCCTCAGAGGCTATTGGTAAGATCAAACTTTTTGGAGGACAATTTGGCACTATTTATTAAATTTTAAAAGTGCATGCCTTTGGCCCAGTAATCTTCTAAAAATTAGAAATTTATCTTGCAGAAGTTATATATGTATATGTGTATATATGTGTGCATATATAATATATAAATGTTTATTTTAGTATTGCTTTATAAAATTAAAAATAAATAACAAACATATAAAAAAGAGATTGGTTAACAAATTATGGTACATACCTACAATATAAAATGATGTCGGCATCAAAAGGAATTATTTTGGGCTGGGCGCGGTGGCTCACACCTGTAATCCCAGCATTTTGGGAGGCTGAGGGGGGCAGATCACGAGGTCAAAAGATCGAGGCCATCCTGGCCAACATGGTGAAACCCTGTCTCTACTGAAAATACAAAAATTAGCTGAATGTGGTGGTGGTGCGCCTGTAGTCCCAGCTACTCAGGAGGCTGAGGCAGGAGAATCACTTGAACCTGAGAAGCAAAGGTTGCATTGAGCTGAGATCACGCCACTGCGCTTCAGTCTGGCGCGTAGTGAGACTCCATCTCAAAACAGACAAACAAACAAAACCAAAGAATTATTTTGACCTGCATATCCTGATATGGTCAATGTCCATTATATACTATTAAATGTAACAAGTAAATTGGAGAAGATAATTTATAGTACCATTCCATTTTCATTTTAGAAGGTAGTATCTAGAAAATACGAAAGGTTTATACACAAAACTGTAGTAGTAGTTTTGGGGAGTGGAGAGGTGCCTATACTTTCTAATTCCTACATGTTGCTCTTTTCCAGTGAACATGTATTTATTGTATAATTTTTTTTTTTTTTTTGAGATGGAGTCTCAATCTATCATCAGGCTGGAGTGCAGTGGTGCGATCTCGGCTCACTGCAACCTCCGCCTCCCAGCTTTAAGCGATTCTCCAGCCTCAGCCACGCGAGCAGCTGAGATTACAGGTGTGCACCACCATGCCCAGCTAATTTTTGTATTTTCAGTAGAGACAGGCTTTCACTATGTTGGCCAGGATGGTCTCAATCTCTTGACCTCATGATCCGCCTGCCTCGGCCTCCCAAAATGCTGGGATTACGGGTGTGAGCCACCACGCCCGGCTCTTATTGTATAATTTTAAAATACATGTATTCTGAGGCAGGTGCAGTGGCTCACACCTGTAATCCCAGCACTTTGGGAAGCCAAGGCGGCTGGATAACCTGAGGTCAGGAGTTCAAGACCAGCCTGGCCAAAATGGCAAAACCCCATCTCCGCTAAAAATATAAAAATTAGCTGGGTGTGGTGGTGGGCATCTATAATCCCAGCTACTCAGGAGACTGAGGCAGAAGAATCACTTGGACCAGGGAGGCAGAGGTTGCAGTGAGCCAAATTGGCGCCACTGTACTCCAGCCTGCATGACAGAGTAAGACTCCTTCTCAGAAAAAAAAAAAAAAAAAAAAAGAGTATAGAGGCTCCTCAGTGTTTTTTACATGAGTGTTCAGTTGAAGTTACAGGGATATTAATGATTGATAGAAGAACCAAACATGTAAATATTGTGTATTTCAAACAGTTGTGATATGGATAGGAAGAACCCTTTTATTTACTTCATTTTTGAGATAACAAAGAAAAAATGAATATATTTTTATATACAACACGAAAGAAGTCTTTTATTACATTATTTTTACATAACATTGGTTATAGCAAGGGAAACAAAATATTACTCATGTTTAGCATTTGCTAGGATGTGGTTATAATGTTGATGACAATAATGCTTCCTTTAAATAATATTTGTTGTAAGAGGAATTCACCTACTGTATGTAAAGGTGAGGAATTGCCTTGTAGCCTGAAGATCACCCAGATTTTAATAATGTTTATTTATCCTATTTTAGGAAGCGGGTATGTGATCCAAAAGAACATCTATGCGTGGGAGTCGCTAGGTATGGGGAAGTACCTCATGGCTCTGGCTATATCAGGACCTGTGTACATCATCCTGCTTTTCTTTGTTGAAACCAATATGTTCCAGAAACTGAAAACCAGGGTGTGTGACTTCTGCATGAGGCAAAATTTGGTGAGTAGGTCAATGTGTAAATCCTCTGGGGCAGGCCCAGGGCCTGGCTCCATAGCTTCCTTCCTGTGGTCTGTAGCTGCCTTGATTCTCAGCATCAGAGGGAGCCTGCAGATCATCTGGTCCCATCTCAGAGCAGAGAGGTGACAGCTCATGCCCAGGGACTCCCAGAGAGGGAAGAAGGCTTGGGCTTAGTCCCTAGGCCCTTTTCATGATGCTGGCCACCTGTGGGGCTTTAAGGCCTGCTCATCAATGAATAGAAACAATACCCTGAGATTAGGCCAAGTGGGGTGGCTCATGCCTGTAATCCCAGCACTTTGGGAGGCTAAGGCGGGTGGATCGCCCAAGGTTGGGAGTTTGAGACCAGGCTGGACAACATGGTGAAACCCTGTCTCTACTAAAAAATACAAAAATTAGGGTGTGGTGGTAGGCATCTGTAATCCCAGCTACTCAGGAGGCTGAGGCACGAGAATCGCTGGACCTGGGAGAGGGAGGTTGCAATGAGCCCAGATCATGCCATTGCACTCCAGCCTGGGCAACAGAGCAGGACTTATCTGAGAGTCCTAAAACCAGTCACCTTCTAGAACACCTCTTACCCCACAGACATCCATGAGCCAGACGGGAGAAAGTTCTGCCCAGTCAGATCTTGGTCTGAGTACTTTCCAGAAGCCAAGACCACCCAAGGAAACTGTAGAAAATATGCTTTTATTATATCTTGACATCCCCAGGTTATAATTCTTCTAGCTTTCCTCAAAAGTTGATGCCATGTTGTTGCATGTCCACCATATCATGGTCACGGCAATCTGAATTCAGTCTTTGATACCTGTAGTTGCTTCTGAGATAGGGGTGCACATTTTTATGAGAACCAGTGTCAGCTGGGCACCTTCAGGGCCTTCAAGAGAGGGACTTTGCTGGTCCCTTCAATCTCTACCTTCTACCATTGCAAAAGCAGTTACATTTTCCCTCCTTGTCTTGGAATGTAGGCAGTGTTGCACAAAGTAGCATTAGTGCCTGAAGACCAAGATGTGGAAGAAGAGGCAAAAAATATCCGGACTTATTTGGAAAATTTGTGTCAGAAAAATCCACTAGTTGTTAAAGAAATATCAAAGGTAAAGTCAGACTTGGCTTTAAAAAGTCATGAACATTCTTCTTTTGGGCCCTTTGCATAAGGAATCAGTAAAATGAAGGACTCTCAGCCCTGCCCGCAGGTGTGGAGTATCGGCAAGTGCCTCAGAGTGAATCACATGAGTTCATTTGTGTGCCCTGAGACAGAAATTTGGATCTCAGCCCTCCATTGTCTCTTCTGTGGTCCCCTGGAAGACAAGAGGGCCTGGGATGGGAGGGACACCAGAGCCATGAATCTCAAGAAGCAAGGATGTGGGCCAGGTGCGGTGACTCACGCCTGTAATCCCAGCACTTTGGGAGGCTGAGGCAGGTGGATCACTTGAGGCCAGGAGTTTGAGACCAGCCTGGCTGGGATTATAGATGCCCACCACCACACCCAGCCTGGCCAACATGGTGAAACCCCAGCTCTACTAAAAATTAATCTAATTAAGGAAAATTAGTAAGGTGTGGTGGTGGGTGCCTGTAATCCCAGCTGCTCAGGAGGCTGAGACAAGAGATTTGCTTGAACCTGGGAGGCGGAGGTTGTAGTGAGCCAAGATTGTGCCACTTTGCACTCCAGCCTGGGTGACAAGAAACTCCATCTTAAAAAAAAAAAAAAAAAAATCCGTGAACTTTGTACCATTTCCCCCCAAGTTTGTTATTCTTATTGTTTCCCTGTGGTTACTGGAAGTTAACAAAATCAAGGCCAGGCGTGGTGGCTCGCATCTGTAATCCCAGCATTTTGGGAGTTGAGGAGGGCAGACTGGCTGAGCTCAGGAGTCTGAGACTAGCCTAGGCAACACAGTGAAACCCTGTCTCTACTAAAATTTTTAAAAATTAGCCGGGTGTGGTGGTGGGCGCCTGTAGTCCCAGCTGCTCGGGAGGTTAAGACAGAATTGCTTGAACCCAGGAAGCGGAGGTTGCAGTGAGCCGAGATCATACCACTGCACTCCAGCCTGGGTGACAGAGCGAGACTCTCTCTCAAAAAAAAATCAGAAACAAACCCTCAGGCAACATCAAAAATATTTTGTTAGCTTTAGGGACAGAAGGGAAAGGGCCTATCTTAGGGAACTAAGTTCTCAATTTGCAAAGACAGTTGGAGAAGAGAAAGACCTTAATAAACCTGCTGGGAGTAACAGCTGAGAAAAGGCAAGGCTGAGCCTGGGTACAGGAGAGGCCACGTGAGCCCAGAGAGCAGCTGGGACCTACCCCCGAGCAGGTGTGCAGCAAGCACAGTGCAACTGCTGGACTGCTGATTGCGTTGCAGCCTCCTGACTGCGTCTCCTGTCTTGTGTGTCTCAGATCTACGTCCAGAAGGTACCCCTGCTGGCTGTGAACAAAGTGTCCTTCACTGTGCCACCACAAGAATGCTTTGGCCTGCTTGGCATCAATGGGGCTGGGAAGTCTTCCATTTTCAAAATGCTGACTGGGCAGAAGCCCATAACCTCTGGGGACGGCTTTGTCAAGGGCCTCAGCATCAGCTCTGACGTAGGGAAGGTGAGTGTGTCTCTGGAAACAAACCTGGGCTATGACACAGGATTTGGGGACAGGAACTGGAACAGGACTTGCTCTCTGAAAATTCCATGTATCTCTTTTGTCTGTGATCCCTAAATCCATAGCTCCGTCCTAGATTGCTTCTCTGAGCTCCGGATCATGTGTCCAGATGTTTACTTAACATCATCTCATGAATGGCCCACAGGCATCTGAAACTCAGCAGGCCCAAATCTCCCCACATCCCCCTGCCCCGCCAACCTGCTCTTTCCTCCTCCCTCATGCTTCCTTGGGGAATGTGTGGCACACATCCTCCTGCTGTTCAAGGCACCTCTCCAGACATCCAGTCAAGCACAGTCCGTGGATGCTCCCTCCCAGCAGCCCTTGAAGCTGCTGTCTCTGGACCTGGTCCTCCCGCACTCCCCCAGTTGAGGAGGCTTCTGTTCAGTCTGTGTTTTCCTTAACTTGTCTGCAGCGTTCATAATGCTGACCCTTTCCACCTTCTGACTAGGCTTCCTCTGTTAACTTCTGTAGCTTTCCCCTCTCCTGGCTCTTCTCAACCACTGACACATCCTTCTCAGAAGAGGGTCTTTTCCATCTGGCCCTTACATTTCGCAGGGGCTATGTCAAAAGCCGCTGTCTTTCTCACTCCACGTGCACTGTACCCGCCTATTGTCTTTTTGGCTGCTGTGGCTCCTGTTACCATGTCTGTACTGGGATGCCTCCCCAGTAGCCGCACCCCAGCCCACTCCAGCCCTGCGCTTCAGTCCTGCATGCTGATACCTTCTCATCAGCGTTCCTTGGACCTCTCGCAGATGTTTCAAACTTAATATCTACACCTAAGCCTGACCCACTTCTTGGAGTCTCTATCTCAATGTTGGCACTGGTTCAATGAGACACTTCTTGAAGGCCTTGTGTGTCCAACCATTGTGCTAGACCCAGTGGTTCTCACTTGCATGAGCACATGAACAAGCCATTGCCATGAGGTAAGTGCATAGCTGATGTCGGGGTGCTGCAGAGGGGATACAGTCAAAGGCCTCTAGAGAGACTGCACTGCAGAGGCACAGTAAGAGTCCTACTCTTCACAGCGACGCACGCGTGAGTCACTCTATTGCCAAGAAGTTTATCAAGCTGGCCTCTGTCCATGCCCTAATCCTGTAGAGAGAAAGAAAAAGAGCCCACCCAGTCTAGTTCCAGAATCCGTGCTCTCAGTTGCCACTCTTATGCTGTCTTTCAGTGTACCTACCTTAGTTGGAGAGTTATAACCAATGTAAGCCCTTCTTGGTCATAAAACACTTACTATTCATTTTAACTTTTTATTACTCAAAAAATCATGGGCAAGTTCTTCCAATAATGTCAAACAAGGAAATTCTGGCCCCCCTCCTGCTGATGATAACTAGAAAAACTGGACCAAATGTTAAAAACATGTTTGAAAGTCTCAGAAAGCTAACAAGATAGTGAAGCCTTACTGGGCCAGGAGGTAGAAGAGGATATGGGCCCAGGGAGGTGAGCACTGCAAAGCTGCACAGCTGAGAGCGGAGTGTTGCTCTTCATGCTGAGTGACAGGAGTTGGAATTCAGGGCTTAGCCGGGGCAAGACTATGCCTGGTGAAAGCATCCTTTGTTTGAGTTGAGACCCTAAAGGGCTGCATTATAGACATAGGGGTGAGCTGTGCTCATGCAAGCTTATACAATAATTGCAAAACAGCCTGGACTTGATAGCAGTCTTTGACATGAAATTGATGTGACCCTAAACTGCCAGTGCTCCCAAGCATCTGTCAGAAATAAAAAGCAGTGGCTCACACCTCTAATCTCAGCACTTTGGGAGATTACAGAGGGCAAAACACTTGAGGTCAGGAGTTCAAGACCAGCCTAGCCACCATGGTAAAACCCTGTCTCTACTAAAAATACAAAAATTAGCTGGGCATGATAGCAGGTGCCTCTGATCTCAGCTCTTTGAGAGGCTGAGGCAGGAGAATCATTTGAACCTGGGAGGGGGGAATCGAAGATCTCACCACTGCACTCTAGCCTGGGCAACTGAGCGAGACTCTGTCTCAAAAAAAAAAATGGCCAGCCATGGTGACGCATGCCTGTAATCCCAGCACTTTGGGAGGCTGAGGCAGGTGGATAAGTTGAGGTCAGGAGTTTGAGAGCAGCCTGACTAACATGGTGAAAACCCGTCTCTACTAAAAATACAAAAATTAGCCCGGTGTGGTGGCACATACCTGTAATTCCAGCTACTTGGGAGGCTGAGGCATGAGAATTGCTTGAGCCTGGGAGGTGGAGGTTGCAGTGAGCTGAGATCAAGCCACTGTACTCCAGCCTGAGTGACACAGAGAGACTGTGTCTTAACAACGACAACAAAAAAAAAACAAAAACAAAAACAAAAAGGTAAATCTTCTTTAGGGAAAGATTATATCATCCTAGTCCTCAAACGATTTCTACAAACAACTTGACAAATGCAATGCTTGGTGCACAATAAAAAATACCCAGTTACCTGTGGATAAAAGGTAACACCCCAAATTGCAAAAAAAAATAATAATTTAGAAGGAAGCACGGAGGGTCAAAAGGGTGGAAAATATACGGAAGAGGATAAGAGTCATTGTGGTATACAGCCTCCAAGGTGTGCCCTCGTAAAGCTCCTCCCAGCATTCACACCCTCGAGTAGTCCCTCCCCATGTTGTACCAGGGTTGGTGCATGTGACTGGCAAACACTGTAGTCTTCTGAAGAAGAGATGGGGTGTCACTTCTGAGACTGGGTCACAAAAGACACTACAGCCTCTGCCTTGGATGTACTCTCCCCTTCACAGCACTCTGTATTTTCATGGTTTGCCAGATAAACAGAACAAATAAAATACGATAAACAGTCACATAGAGGTTTATATTGAGGCATTGGCTCACACAATTATGGAAGCTGAAAAGTTCCACAGTCTGCCGTCTGCAAGGTGGAGGCTCGGGAAAACCAGTGGTGTAGTTCCTGTCCAAACCCAAAGGCACAGGGACTGGGGTGACACGGTGTCAGACCCAGTCTGAGTCTGAAGGCCCAACAGTTAGTGGCCCCAGTGTCCAAGGATAGGAGAAAAAGGACGTCCCAGCCTAGTAAAAGGGCAGAGGTACTTTCCCTCTGCCTTTGCGTTCTCTTCAGGCCCTCTGTGGGTTGGATGGTACCCAGCAGCATCTGTGAGGGCAAGTCTCCACTCCATCTCTGATTCAAGTGCTGAGTGCTTCCAGAAACACTCTCGCAGGCACACCCAGAAATCATGTTTCACCAACTATCTGGGTATCCGTGAGCCCAGTCAAGTAGGCGGATAAAATTAACCAGCTGCCTATAATCCCAGCACTTTGGGAGGCCGAGGCGGGCGGATCACTTGAGGCCGGGAGTTCAAGACCAGCCTGACCAACACGAAGAAACCTGTCTCTACTAAAAATACAAAAAATTAGTCAGGCGTGTTGGCGCATGCCTGTAATTCTAGCTACTCGGGAGGCTGAGGTAGGAGAATTGCTTGAACCTGGGAGACGGAGGTTGCAGTGAACTGAGATTGCACCATGAGACTCTAGCCTGGGCAACAAGAGTGAAATGCTGGCCAGGCGAGGTGGCTCATGCCTGTAATCCCAGCACTTTGGGAGGCCGAGGCAGGCAGATCACGAGGTCAGGAGATCGAGACCATCCTGGTCAACATGGTGAAACTCCATCTCAAGTAAAAATTCAAAAAAAATAGCTGGTCATGGTAGCGCACCCCTGTAGTCCCAGTTACTCGGGAGGCTGAGGCAGGAGAATTGCTTTAACCCAGGAGGCAGAGATTGCAGTGAGCCAAGATCAGGCCACTGCACTACAGCTTGGGTGACAGTGCGAGACTCCACCTCAAAAAAAAAAAAAAAAAGAAAAGAAAAAAAATTAACCAGCATGTTCTCTCTGAAGGAAGCTAAGTGCCTTGTCATGCAGATAGCTAGGTGGCCTTGCAGAGAGGCCTGTGTGGTGAGGAGCAGTCAGAAAGTACCTGAGACCTGCCAGCCACTTGGAAGCAGCTCCTCCAGCCTTCAAGAGACTTTGGGCCCAACCAACAGGTTAGCAGAACCTCATGAGAGACCCTGGCCAGCACCACCCAACTAAGGTGCTCTGAGATTCCTGATGTGATGCATAGAAACCATGCAATAACAAATTACACCCAAGCTTTGGAGTAATTTGTTATTCATCAACATGACTAATCCACATACGAAGGATACAGCAAGGTTTTATGTGTGTGTAACAGAGGTTCCAAAAGGAAGGGAGACAAGGCAACATTTGAAACCATATGGCTAAAACTGTTCAAAATTTACGAAAGACATCAATTGCAAATGAAGCCTTATTCACCTCAAGCAAGATAAATGAAATCAGCCCCTAGGAACAGTGTACGGAATCTGCTGAAAACCAACACAAGAAAAAGTCTTAAAAGGACCCAGAGGTAAAAGGTGGATTCCCTTCACAAGAGCAACAGTTACTGGTACCAGACCCCATCACAGAAGTAATAGAGGCCAGGAGACAATAGAACGATACGTTGTGATATAAGAGGAAACAACCTACCTAGAATATAGTAACCAGTAAAACTATACTTAAAAAAGAAAGGTGTTGTGTTTTGTTTGTTTGTTTGTTTTGAGACAGAGACTCACTCTGTCACCCAGGCTGGAGTGCAATGGCATGATCATGGCTCACTGCAACGACTGCCTCCCGGGTTCAAGCAATTATCCTGCCTCAGCTTCCCCAGAAGCTGGGATTACAGGCGCGGGCCACCACCTGGCTAATTTTTTTGTATTTTAGTAGAGACAGGGTTTCGCCATGTTGGCCAGGATGGTCTCGATCTCCTGACCTCATGATTTGCCTGTCTTGGCCTCTCAAAGTGCTGGGATTACAGGCGTGAGCCACAGTGCCCAGCCAAGTGATTTTTTTTTTAAAGAGGGATCTGTGAGTTTTGACTGAAAGCTATAATAGTAATGTATTATGAGGCTTAAAACACGAATAAAGGTAAAATACATGACAACAATGGCTTTAAGTCAGGAGAGAGTAAAGGAAGTTAAACTATTTTAAGGTTCATGCCTTGTTCGTGAAAAATGTACATAGTTAATGATATCCATCGCTAAGTCAAGGATGCATGTTTTAATCACTAGGAACAACCAAAGGAATAGGGGAAAGGAGTATATACCTTTTAAGCTAATAGAGGGGAAAAATAGAAAAGTGAAAAAAATATGACACAAGAATTGAGAGAGAAAAAGGAACATAGAACATTTGGGCTACCCAGCCCTGAATAAGATGGTAGATTGAGGCCAGGCATGGTGGCTCACACTGTAATCCCAGTACTGTGGGAGGCCCAGGCGGGAGGATGGCTTGAACCTAGGAATCCAAGGCCAGCCTGGACAACATAGCGAAACCCCGTCTCTACAATAAAATTTAAAATTAGCCAGGTATAGTGGTGTGTGCCTGTAGTCCCAGTGATTCTCTGATTCTCCTGCCTTGGCCTCCCAAGTAAGCGGGATTACAGGTGAAGGCCACCACATCTGGCTAATTTTTTTGTATTTTAGTACAGACAAGGTTTTGCCATGTTGGCCAGGATGGTCCCAATCTCCTAACCTCATGATCTGCCCGCCTCGGCCTCCCCATTGCTAGGATTACAGGCATGAGCCACTGCAGTAAGCCATAATCACAGCACTGCACTCCAGCCTGGGCAAGAGAGACTTTATCTTAAGAAAAAAAATGTGTTTTTATGCATCACATTTAAATCCAAACATCAGTACTTACATTAAATATAAATGAACAAAGGCTCCAGCTAAAAGATTAAAATTATCAGAAAGTATACTCAAAAGGTTAAACACAGAATTACCATATGACCTAGCAATTCCATTCCTAGGTGTATAACCAAAAGAACTGAAAACCTACATCCACACAGAAACTTGCACAAGAAAGTTCATAGAAGCTTTACTCATAGCAGCTAAAAGTGGAGACAACTCAAATGTCCATTAACAGGTGAATGGATAAACACGTGGTCTTGCTGTATAATATGCAATGTTATATAGCCTTCTTCCTTGTCTCTCTTTCCCTAAGCAGACACTCCATGTGGTTTGCTTTCTTTTCTTCCTTTCCTTCCTTTCCTTCCTTTCCTTCCTTTCCTTCCTCTCCCTCCTTCCCTCCCTCCTCCCTCCCTCTCTCCCCCACTCACTCTTTCTTTCTGTCTCTCTCTGTCTTTCTTTTCCTTCCCCTTCCCTTTCCTCCTTTGTTGCAGTCTGTCTCTGTCGCCCAGGCTGGAGTGCAGTGATGTGATCTCAGTTCACTGTAACCTCTGCCTCCTGGGTTGAAGTGTTCAAGTGATTCTTGTGTCTTAGCCTCCTGAGTAGCTGGGATTACAGGTGTGTGCCACCACACCTGCCTAATTTCTGTATATTTAGTACATATGGGTGTTCACCATTTTGGCCAGGCTCGTCTCAAACTCCTGGCTTCAAGCGATTCACCTGCCTAGCCTCCCAAAGTGCTAGGATTGCAGGCATGAGTCACATTGCCCAGCCTCCATGTGGTTTTCTGTTTTGCACCCTGTAAAATCCTCTCCATCCTCCAATCTCAGGCAATGGAGCCCAGGTTTGTCTAGCTGTTTGAACAGGGAGGAGAAGAGGGGAGAAAACAGGAGGGAAAAATTTCTCAAAAGTAGCATCCCGCTCTTTTCAGCATCTGGAAGCAGATGAACATGGGCACAAACCTGGGTGGCCAGCTGCAAGTTTAGAAAGGCAAAAACCTGAGGTCAGGAGTTTGAGATTAGCCCAGCCAACATGGTGAAATCTGTCTCTAGTAAAAATACAAAAAATTGGCTGGGCATGGTGGCTCACACCTGTAATCCCAGCACCTGGGGAGGCCAAGGTGGGCTGATCCCCTGAGGTCAGGAGTTCGAGACCAACACGGTGAAATCCCATCTCTACTAAAAATATAAAAATATAAAATTAGCTGGGCATGGTGGCACCCACCTGTTGTCCCAGCTACTCGAGAGGCTAAGGCAGGAGAATCAGTTGAACCTGGGAGGCAGACGTTGCAGTGAGCCGAGATTGTGCCATTGCACTCCAGCCTGGGCAACAGAGTGAGACTTCATCTCTAACCTCCTCAAAAAAGGTGCAAAAACCTGGAAATGAGTCAAATGAATTTTTTTTTTTTTTTTTTTTTTTTTTGAGATGGAGTTTCGCTCTTGTTACCCAGGCTGGAGTGCAATGGCGCGATCTCGGCTCACCGCAACCTCCGCCTCCTGGGTTCAGGCAATTCTCCTGCCTCAGCCTCCTGAGTCGCTGGGATTACAGGCACGCGCCACCATGCCCAGCTAATTTTTTGTATTTTTAGTAGAGACGGGGTTTCACCATGTTGACCAGGATGGTCTTGATCTCTTGACCTCGTGATCCACCCGCCTCGGCCTCCCAAAGTGCTGGGATTACAGGCTTGAGCCACCGCGCCCGGCCTCAAATGAATTTTTTTAAGAGCTAAATAAAATCTAGAACCCTTCCCTGCATGACTAAGTAGCAGTTAAAATAGGTGAAGGTAGGTCTGTGTTTACTGACCTAGGAAAATCTTTAAGACATAATGTTGAGTAAGAAAAGCATGCACTTTGGGAGGCCAAGGCGGGCAGATCACCTGAGGTTGTGAGTTTGAGACCAACCTGACCAACATGGAGAAACCTCAGCTTTACTAAAAAAAATACAAAAAAATTAGCCGGAGGTGGTGGTGCCTGTAATCCCAGCTTCTTGGGAGGCTGAGGCAGGAGAATCGCTTTAACCCAGGAGACAGAGGTTGCCATGAGCCGAGATCGTGCCATTGCACTCCAGCCTGGGCGACAGGGAGAGACTCCGTCACAAAAAAATAAATAAAAAGCATGTTGGCTGGGTGTGGTGGCTAATGTCTGTAAATCCCAGCACTTTGGGAGGCCAAGGCAGGTGGATCATGAGGTTAGGAGATCGAGACCAGCCTGATCAATGTGGGGAAACCCCGTCTCTACTTAAAATACAAAAATTAGCTGGGTGTGGTGGCAGGCGCCTGTAATCCTAGCTACTCAGGAGGCTGAGGCAGGAGAATTGCTTGAACCTGGGAGGTGGGGGTTGCAGTGAGCTGAGATCACGCCACTGCACTCCAGCCTGGGTGACAGAGTAAGACTTCATCTCAGAAAAGAAGAAAAGCATGTTACAGAATGATAGATAAAGGATGATACCATTTGGCAAAAAGCAGCACCCAGCCAGTCCTGGGCAAGGAGCCTAGGCCCACGCAGTTGCCTTTGCCAGCACAGAATGCCGGACGGTGCACAGCTGCCTGGCCACAGTGGGCTGGGGCAGGCCGCCAACAGACTGCAGGAGTCTTTACCTGAATATTTTACAAAGAAAAATGATTTGCAGATTACAAGTCTAATAGAAAATATTTCTAAAGGGTAAAAAGCAAAGCAAGCCTCTTATATTGACTGGATGCTTCAAAGGCACCAGGAAGTAGGGAGGCACTGGGTGCTAAGGTTTCATGCTGGGTGAGCTGGAGGAGGAGCCAAATAAGTGATCCACCCTGCCCACTGCACCAGCAGCTCCCTGACGTAACTATAGTACCACTCACAGGCCCTTCGTGGTGCGCATTCACGTGGCGGATGTGGGTAGCGGCAGAGGCAGCAGCCTGGAGCAAGACCAGCAGGTGTCCAGACCCTTACCTCATTGGATGTTTGGTGAGCCTGTGGGAGGAGGGTTTCCTCTGACATGTCTCCCTCTCGGGGCTGTTTTCTAACCCAGGTACGGCGGTGGATTGGTTACTGTCCTCAGTTTGATGCTCTGCTGAACTTCATGACAGGCCGCGAGATGCTGGTCATGTATGCCCGGATCCGGGGCATCCCAGAGCGCCACATCTGTGCTTGTGTGGACCAGATTATTGAGGACTTAGTCATGTACATGCATGCTGACAAGCTGGTCAAGACCTACAGGTGAGATCTGAGGCTTCCCCCGGCCCCTCCACCTCCAGTTACAATGTAAGTTCCAGTTTTTCCCAGAGCTGGAGAGCATGGCAAAGCCCCCAGCTCTGGGCATGAGGTCCCTGCCTAGGTGGTTGGGGGCAGCTTCCACTCCTGTAGAAGAGGTCAGTGGCCTGGGCTGCCCCAAGGCGCCACTTCCTCTTGGTCCTGGGCTTGAGTGGATTATGAAGCTGCCCCAGTCCAAAGGCAGTTTACATGGCTGACGACAGGCAAATGGTGCCACAGGTGTTACTGTCCTGATAAGATGAGGACAGACCTTTCTTCCTGCCACTTCATGAAGGGCTTTCTGTTTTCGGTAAGTTTGCGTTTTAAGCCCACAGTTACCTCATACCTCTGTGTCTAGGGTACCTGAACCGCTGATGTTCTGCTGAAGAGCCTGGGGTATTCCTCAGGCTTCTGTTGTCAGTGATAGAAGCCCAACTCCAATTAACTATTAAAGCAAGGCCCCCAAACCGAAGGGGTCCAAGGACTCTCTTCGCGTTGTGTGCAGCGTCCCTAGAGGCACATGGCGGTACTGCACACCCAGGATTGGGAAGTAGAGGTGCCCACACCGTGGGCAAAGTGGGCCCAGGGTCAGATGATGATATCCCTTGGCTCTTCCCTCTTTGTTGGCTTCTGTTTCAAGCAGGTTTTTATGTTTCCCTGTATCTTCTGAAGATCAAATGAGTTCATATTTGCACAGTTTAGAACAGTGTGTTGCACATAGTAAATGCTGTATGTTTTAAGTTAGCTAAGATGGGCCAATGCCCTTCTTCTCAGATGGAGAAGCACTTGCCCTCAACACTTCCAGACCCTCAAAGAAGACTCGCCAACCATGTTCTCACCCTGGACTCATCCCTGTGTCTAGGGGAAGGGGTTATTCCCTGAGTGGGTGGCCCCAGCCATGGTTCAGCCCTGGGTGAAAGCAGTGGGCTCCACTGCTGAAAGCCCCACGAGGGGTGTGGGAACACTTCCTGAACAGAGAAGGAAAGGGGGTGAGTGTTGAACCAGCAGTGCTCACTGCTGGAGTCTGACCATTCTCATCACCTAACCTTCTCCCCTCTACCCCCAGTGGTGGTAACAAGCGCAAGCTGAGCACTGGCATCGCCCTGATTGGACAGCCTGCTGTCATATTCCTGGACGAGCCATCCACTGGCATGGACCCCGTGGCCCGACGCCTGCTCTGGAATGTGGTGGCACGAGCCCGCGAGTCCGGCAAGGCCATCGTCATCACCTCCCACAGGTAGAGCCTGGCTCTGTGGGTCACTGGAAGTTTCAAAACCAGGTGGGCTGGGAAGGAGCCAGGTGGCCAAGAGATCCATCAGCAGCTGGTGCAAAGTCTGTGAGGAGATTCCCTAGGCTCTCCACATGAGCCGCACTCTGAGCATGGGTATCAGGAATGGCCTGATCAGGGTACCAACCCCCCTTCCTGTCTGCACGAGCCTTTGGCACTCCCAGCCCTGTCTCAGGCCCCGCCCTCTCCCCAGCATGGAGGAGTGTGAGGCCCTGTGCACCCGGCTGGCCATCATGGTGCAGGGGCAGTTCAAGTGCCTGGGCAGCCCCCAGCACCTCAAAAGCAAGTTTGGCAGCGGCTACTCCCTGCGGGCCAAGGTCCGGAGCGAAGGGCAGCAGGAGGCGCTGGAGGAGTTCAAGGCCTTCGTGGACCTGACCTTTCCAGGTGTGTCCCAGCCCTGGCAGCCCCACACTGGGTGGGCCCTGGGACCCTGTCTAGGCCTCTCCCATCCGTCGTGAGATGTGTCTGTGCCTCACCCCTGCCATGTCCCATCTCCTCGATCCTTGGGACAAGAATCACAGTGCCGAGCACCCAGGCACCCTCCCTGATCCTCCAGCCCAGCCCTCACAGCCACGCCATCTCTCCTTGCAGGCAGCGTCCTGGAAGATGAGCACCAAGGCATGGTCCATTACCACCTGATGGGCCAAAACCTCAGCTGGGCAAAGGTGAGTGCATATCTTTGACATGACCCACTTTCTGGGGTAACTCTGTCACCCTCTCTCCCCCTTTCTCTCCTCCCCATCGCCCTGAAGTCATGTTCAGTGCTGCCGCTGTCCTGCCATCTCCATGGCAATGTTCACGTGATTTCGTAGAACAGAAGGTGTTTCAGCTGGAAGGGACTTTGGAGATCAGGTCCTCCTGTCCCCTCATTTGACAGAGAGGAGAGCAGGCCCAGAGAGGAAACACCACATGCCCAGGGACACACAGCAAGCCAGGGACCCTGCCAGGCCTCTGCCCTTCTGGCACCATTCCCACCCAAGAGTGCGGGCAGTGGAGATCCATAGCACTGACTTCTTGGGAAGTGTTCTGGAACAGCCGAGAGAGGGATGGGCCTCTTGGGGGCCTTGTCACAGTCCCAGAGGCCAGCCCTTCCATCCTGTCCTCCCCTGTGTGCGTCTGTGGGACAGCCTGGCCACAGCAGCCTCCTCCCTCCTCTCAGGTGTTTGGCACTCTGGAGCAAGCCAAGAAGAAGTACATGCTGGATGACTACGCAGTCAGTCAGGTCACCCTGGAGGACATTTTCCTGAGCTTTGCCCGCCCTGTGCCCCTGGTCCAAAGTGAAGGCCGACGAGAGCAGGCAGAGCACGAGGGCCCCTCATCGTGCCTGCTGCCTCCCTCAGAGCCTGTCCTGCTATAATAAAGACATCCCAGTGCCAGGTTGGCCCAGGTGTGCCTGGCCTGCCTTCAGCTTCCAGGGCTACAGAGGCAGCTCTCAGCCCAGCTGGCTCGGCACGGGGCTCTCCCCTCAACTGCAGTGCATGGAGCAGAGTGGGGCCCATTGGGTAACTTGAGAGGCCCCCTGGAGAACCCAGGAGCGTTTCAGTAGAAACGGATGCCCGAGTCCTACCTGAGTAGCCTGTGGTCTTCCTGAGACCTGGCTGTGGAAGCAGCCTCAAAACATCTTGCATGTCCTTTCCAAGGGTGGTGGCCAGGGGGTGACCACAGTACTAACCATGGCCCGACCAGGTGCCAGCTCTGTGGTCAATCCCCTGCAGGCATCATGTCATTTGATCACACCACCCTCAGGCCCAGCTTCAATGGGCCTGTCCTGGCCATGCCCTTGCTCATGGGCAAGAAGTCTGCAGGGCAGAGGGAAATGCTCACCCAAAGCTTGCGCTCTTCCTTGTCTAGAATCTCCTGCCCAGATCGTTTGTCCATCCAGTGCACTCCCTCCCAGGGCAGGGCAGGCCATGCCAGCCAACGCAGCCTGAGACTCGAGGTGCAGGAAAGCAGCAGCTCTGCAGAACTGCGGGTGGAGTTTGGATGGGTGTGTGGGGGGTTCCACACATGTGCACAGATCCCTTGGAAAGCAGGATAGAGCCAGAAAGAGAGAAGGGTGTCCGCAGGCCAGGGCAGGCCTGGCTCCTGTGGCCACATGCAAGAGTGGAGCTTCGCAGAGACCATGATTCTCAACTCACACCTGGCCTCCAGGTGGTAATGACAAGTTTCGTCTGAAGGAAGGAAGAAAGAAATATTGACAAGTTTGCTAGCCTAAGTTAGGATGTTATCGTATTTAAATACTTGGATGTGTGGAGTTTCATCCTCTTCCCTGGCTCCTGCAAAGTTAGGGCTACATGTGGTCCTATATCCACCCATGAAGTGGGCAGCACCCCACCTCCCACATGGCTTGACTGCCCTAGAGGCAGCCAGCAACTTCCCACATCAACAGGCAGGGGAGCCAGGGTTACAATGGGGCAGAGGTTCTCCCAGTGGGGTCCCAGCAGCAGCAGCAGCACCATCGGGAAACTTGTTAGAAATGTAGGCTCTTGGACCCCACTCCAAACATACTGAATCAGAAATGCTTGGGGCAGTGCCAGCAATCCATGTTGCAACAAGCCCTATAGCAGGTGCTCTGACACAGCTCCAGTGTGAGAACCTCCACTGAGAGCCTCCACTGAGCAGAGGCCCCGTAGGCCCCATACATCCAGATGCAGATGGATGTGGCCACATGCCTTTGTCGTGGACATTCTCCTCTCTGAGTCCGTCAGCGGCCTTTCTTTCTCTGTGGAGCTCACTGTCCCTTGCCACAGGCCCCTCAGCTCCCTCTGGGAAGTTCAGGTGCAGGACTCAGGAACATGTGGGGCACCGGCCTTGCCTATGCTTCCCACAGCTCTTGCCCAGAACAATGGCATGGCACACCTGTGGTCGCCAACCCACCCTCTTCTTAGTGCTTGTTTCAGGTGACTGCTCCCTGTGATGAAGGCCACCTCTGCTCCCACATCCAGCTCTCATTCCTCCCATGACCCTCTCTGCCTCCACTGAAGGCCCATCCTCCTCTTTGAATGTGGGATGTCTCAGGCTCCCAACCTACTTCGTGTTCCCGTACTCTCCCCCGACCCTCACCACCCATGACATTTTCAACTGACACCTCATTCCACCAGGAATTTCCCTGAGCTCCTAACGGTTTGGACTTTTCCAACAAGGCGTCACCTTGGATGTGTGGACTTTCACCCTCTTCTAGAATCCCCTGCCCAGATCGTTTGTCCATCCAGTACGCTCCCTCCCACAGCAGGCCATGCCACCCAACGCACCCTGAGACACAAGGTGGACACACACTGCTCCGGCCTCCAAGTCTGTGGCTTCTCTCCAGGGCTGACCCTTCTAATTTGGACTTGAAAACAAGACTCTTCAAACCCACAGATCCTTACTGATCATTTCTGAAGCCCAGTGGGAAATGGGCTGACACCCTGGAGGAGCCACTCATCACCCCAGTGCAGCCCTGGAGGCTCCGGCTGCCAGCGCAGTGGGTGGAATGAGCCAGGCATGGCTGGAGCCAAGACAACTCCTGCTCCCTGAAAAAGACATTTGCCTCTCAATATAGAAAGAAGAGTGATCAGGACACAAAGCACAGGATGGACTCAAACAACATAGGGAGCAGGGATGCTGTTCTGGGTCCTAGAGGTAGCCGGTGTCACCAGTGTGCTCATGGCTGGCTCTTGATTAATCCCTTCAAGAGGCTCACCCTGAAAGTGAACCTCTGCCCTAGGGGGAGACAGGTAACAGTGACAAAGTAGGAAACAGTAACCTAGGCAGACAAAAATGAGATGATGGGATAAGAAATCTGGGGGCTGAGAACATGGGATATCTGGGGAGCAGGCCCCAAACTCGCTCATCCTGTCCTCTCTTCACCCTCCTTCACCAGCTTCCTGATTCCAGGGCAGGGAATAGTCCCAACTTCCAGGGCCTCTCTGGGGCCACGAACTCTGTGCCCTGTGCTGTGATCACCTGCGTACTCTGTCTCGCTCCAGGCTGGCTGACGCCTGCACGCCAGAGCTCCTGTCTGTGCCCAGGACAGGCGCAGTACCTTTAGGGGTTCTGTGGTCACGAGGGCCGTGGGCACTCAGAAGGATGGGAGGGTGCAGACTGAGGGAAGCGTGAGGGAGAGGGGGGCAGCCTTGGCCCAGGCCCCCGCCTCCACCAGACCCTCGGGAGGCTGAGTGTCTTCCCTTGACAGCCCGTGCCGTGAAAGGGGTGGAGTGTGGCTGATTCCTGAAGGACAGCTCGGATGGGCTCTGCCGGACACAAGAGTGAGCAGATGTGACACCTCCCTCCGCGAGCAGCTCCCAAGTGGCGCCGAGGAGGCGAGGCAGGGGGCAGCAACCGGTCAAAGTGGTGGGGAGGGCTTGCCCCGGTCCTGGGGCACTGAGGCGTCCAGGGTGCGCCACGTTTCGCGGGAAGAAGGGGTCAGCGTTCCGGAGGGTAGGCCAGGGGAGACTTGCAGCGCCGGCTCCCACCCCCTTTCCCTACCACGATCTGGGCCAGCATCCCCGCCCAGAAGCGGCTCGGCCACAAACCCAAGGGTCTCCACCTGAAGCAGGAGGCGGAAAGACCGTGCAGGCTAGGGGCGAGCGTCGCGGGCCCAGGACCGACCCCGGGACCGGGGCAGGGCACCGCCTAGTCCCAGAAGCGCCACGTCGGGGCTCTAGCAGGCCGGGTCATGGCGGTGACTGCGAGGGACGCCAAGGAGTCCCCTTTCCCCTGGCCGCCGGCATGCGTCTTCGCAGCCTATCTGGCATCGCGGATGCCAGTCGCCCGAGTCAGCGGCGAAGCCTGGACCCACGCGGGCGGGAAACTACGCCGCCAAACCCTCGCCCGCCGCCCGGGAGCCGCGCTCCTCAGGGACTCACTTCCCCGCTGGGGAGGCGGGGCGGCCACGCGGGCTCCACCAATCAGCGGCCAATGTTCGAATTTGCGTCCTGGTGAGGCCAATGGCGGGCGCCCGGAGCAAGCGGGGTGGGCGTGAAAGGCGGGGCATAAGGCGTGAACAAGGCGGGGCATGGGCGGGGCCGCCGGCGGCCCCCCCCGGGCAGGCCAATGGGAGGGCTGGGCGCGTTTGAAAACTGGGGCGGGCAGCGGGGCGGGGTCTGCGCTTGCGCGAGGGGCCGGCGCGCTCCAGCCGGGACACGGGCGCGCTCTCAGGCGGGCTCTGACTGCAGCTACGCCAGCGCTGCGATGGGGAGCGGCGGCGGTGAGTACCGGGCGATGTCCGCTGGTCTCTGCCCCGCGCCCCTTCTGCCTGCCCTGAGGGGCGGCGGCGGATCCCGCGAGAGGAAAGATTCTGGCGGCCTGAGGAGGGCGGGCTGGAGCCCTTTAACCCGGGGCGGGGGTCGCGTTCGGCGCGGGGAGCCCCAGCGGCCGGGCGCGCGGTTTAAATGCCCGGCGGGCGCCTGAGCCCTTCGGCATCTTCCCCCGCCGCGACATTTTCCAGCCAGTTCCCGGAGCGGCAGTCGGGTCCCAGGGAGCCAAACACCAGCGCCTCCTGGCCGGGGATGGTTCTGCGGAGCGCGTGGGGCTAGGCGATCCCGCGGTCCGGCCGGTCCTGACGGGGCTTCCGTCCGGCGGGGCCGGAGACCCAGCTCCGTGGAAAGCCGCGCTCGCCTCCGCGCGCGTTGAGGCGGAGGAAAGCCGAGCTGCGGTTTCAGTTATTATCACAGCGATTATCACACGTCTCCAAGTGTCTGTCCTGGAGCCGGAGAATGAGGACTGTGTAATGGGGAGGTCTATAGAATCTGAGAATTTGTAGTCCTGGAATACGTTTGGCTTTTGCAGCTGGTTTAACTGCTGACGAGAAGACCCAGGGCAAGAGAGGGGAGCAGGGGGCAATCGCTAGGAGGTCCTGGCGGGGAGGGATTCGGGCCCACAGAGGGGACTGGCGTTTCCTTTCAGGACTGGAAGAAGAATGGATAGAAAGGTGGATTTGTAGATGGGGAGTCAGGATCCTGAGGTTCCTCTCTGAGGGCTTCTGTTATCCTATGTAATAAGGGCTAAGATCATCTGCTTAGAGTGAGGAAGGGGTGGCCGGAGTAGGATTTGGAAAATCGGGCTGTGGGGAGAGGAGAGGGCACACATCTGAGAAGCATGGCTGGGCTGCCTGCCTGGTGGGTGGAGAGCCTGTCTCACCTTTAATGATTGCACCTGTACACGAACCTACAGGTTTAGGTTTGTGTTGGGATCTGAGCAACAACCTTACTGTGTAGCTGTCAACTCCACATTCTGCAGTGGTGGACGCACTGAGACTCAGGGGCCCGGCAGGTCTGCAGAGCTGAGACTTGGACACACACTGCCCCCGGCCTCCAAGTCTGTGGCTTCTCTCCACGGCCGACCCTTCTAATTTGGACTTGAAAACAAGGCTCTTCAAGCCTACAGATCCTTACTGAACATTACGCACTTTGGTCATGTGTGGCAAAAGCAAGCTATCCACCAGAGGCTCCTGGGGTCCCTCGAGAGGAGAGACCCTGGCAGCCTGAGGAGGGCAGGCTGGAGCCCTTTAACCCAGGACAGGGGTCGCGGGTTAACCAGGGGCTTTCCTCAGAGTGAATGTGAGGAAAACCGTCCTCAGCCTTGGCAGCTTTTTCCCCTTCCTGGGTGTCGTGTGGGCCCTGGATCAGAAAGTTTCCCAATAGCCAAGTTACATGATGGGTGCTATTTGCCAAATATTTGTTGAATATTTGAAAATGAGTGATGTCTTCTGTAATTCATGCAATGCCACTCCTTTGCATAATCTTTGTCTGAGACAAGAAGCATGATTCCTTCTTTTGTGGTACAGGGAATAGTAACCATTAGATCATCTTCAGATGGAAATTTATCCTTTTTTTTTTCCCCTTCAAGGGTTGTATATAGAATAACTTTTCATCTTATCAAGACTTCCGTCTTTTTTCCCTTAAGTGATCCACTGTAGGTGTGCCAAGTGTTTCTGTTACCCTACAAAGCGAAGAATAAGAAGGAGGCCCCGAAACCTGACCATCTTGAGTCTCCCCGAAGATGTGCTGTTTCACATCCTGAAATGGCTTTCTGTGGAGGACATCCTGGCAGTCCGAGCCGTAAGTCCCTAGATGGAAACAGTATGAGCCCTAGCATTGTTGATTATACCATCAAGGCGTTGTGTTCTTAAATGTCAGAACAAAACTGGCTAAAAAGGAGGGCAGGCCAGGCACTGTGGCTCACGCTTGTAATCCCATCACTTTGGGAGTCTAGGAGGGCAGATCGCTTGAGCCCAGGAGTTCAAGACCAGCAATAGCAAGACCTCGTTTCTACAAAAAATACAAAAATTAGCTGTGCGTGGTGGCGCATGCCGGTACTCCCCTTACTTGGGAGGCTGAGGCAGGATGAACACCTGAGCCTGGGCAGTCCAGGCTGCAGTGAGCGATGATCGTGCCTCTGCACTCCAGCCTGGGCAATGGAAGTGAAACCCTGTATCAAAAAAAAAAAAAAAAAAAAGGAGGGCAACGGAAACAAGGACATTACCAGATGCTTTCTTTGAGACATTCTGATTACAGAAATTTCTTTTGCTGTCTCCCAGCACACTAAGGTTGCCTCTGTTCATTGTGGTGTCAACAGAGAAAGTACCCTTTTATGGCAGTGAAATTTGCATCCCTTGGATAATAGAATAGTGTTTAAAAGGATAAAAATATATTCTTATATACAAATCCCATGTAACATTTACCGTTGAAAGGGATTCTAGGGGTTACCTTCTAGATATTGGAACCGTAGCCTTACTCTGAGTGACTTAACCTAGAGTCTACAATGGATTCATGGGAAAACTCCAGCAAGAATGCATTTCCTGACTCCCAAAGCCACCTCCATTGCAGGTGTGACACACTGTATGGACCCCAGGGGGTGCTGAATTTCCAATGTCAGTGGAAACTTTGGCACTTAAAATGCTTATCTGTGCTCCAGGTCCCGGCCCAGACACTTCCTGTGTTGGCCCAGCGCAGAGGCTCCAGGTTCTACCTGAGACCTTCATCATGGGGGTCGTTCTTTGCCCTGAGACCCTGTGACCTGTTTCCACACTCCCACTATCAAGGCCCCCAGCGGGGAGGCACAAAACACATTTCCGTCCTGCCTCCCCCCGTTTAAAGTCAGTTTCCCTGGTCTTTGCGGGTGATACCTTTGCAGGGATGTCGAACCCTCCTTCTCAGCCTGGGTGCTTGTTCCCTCCTCCCAGGACCATTGTCCTCCACCCCCCTTTAGAACCTCAGAGAAATGCATTTCTGGGGCTCTCCTCTCTGTTCAAAGCGACTGTTGCTTTCACGCAGAGATTGGGGACCTCAACTATTAGCATGGGGAGGGAGACAGGAGACCCTGCATCTGCACTTCATCCTTAAGAGCCTCCAGGCGTGGGGCTTTCATTTCAGGTGGTCCCTCCATGACCCAGCCCGGCCCCCATTGTTCTGCAGGTGCACTCCCAGCTGAAGGACCTGGTGGACAACCACGCCAGCGTGTGGGCATGTGCCAGCTTCCAGGAGCTGTGGCCGTCTCCAGGGAACCTGAAGCTCTTTGAAAGGTATCTCTGCACCCTGAGAATGGCTTGGTCTTCTCCTGCCTTGGCCTTTCTATGTGCCAGCCTGTGTCCCGAGGCCTGATTCAGCAGCGATTTTCCTGTTGCTGTCTCCTGTGACATTGCCTCATCCCCTGGGGAGTGACTGAGGGCGGCAGACTTCACACATCGGGCCACAAAAGCCACACACCTTCCAGCAGGTCGTGCTGTCAGTCATTCTCCATGCCACTGACATGGGCCCACGGTACCTCCAGAGGGCTGTGACCGATTTCCACATGACCCAGACACAAGTCACCTTCCGGAGGAAACCACTCAGCCTTCCTTCCCTGTGGTCAAAACAATGTGATTTCTGTCCTATGGCATTTCATTCACTGGCAGATTCCACCCCAGCCTGCACCCCGCACCCTGCTCGTATGTGGTCATGGGCCCAGGTAGGCCGCCCTCAGAAGCAGGCCTAGCTTGAGCTTAACAAACTAAAGAACCACAGCTCAGGCGGGGATTTTTCTGACGGGGATTCACTGTGGCCTTCGTCCACCTGAGTTGCCAGAAATCAAGATAGACAGACAGCCAGCAAAGGCAGGCAGCCATGTTACCGCGGCTGTGCTTCAGCTGCTTCCAGTTGGAATGTGTATATTTCTTATTGAGACAGGATCCACACATCACACAGTTCACCTATTTAAAGTATATAACTCACCTAGTTGTGGTTG